CAAACCCTTCCATTTGCAGATCTGAACCTTTTCTCCAAAACTTAATTTCATCCAGTGGTTTTCAATCTTCTATTTGTGCAGCTGACTATTCCTACCTTTTCACCTGTCCTTGCCAAAGTGCATCCTATTTATTTCAGACTCCATCTGATGAATTTTAATTCTACACCTGTGGAGCTTGAAACTCACATTAAACTTCAGATTGTATACAGGTCTTTTATGAGTCATTAATGGGAATGCTGAGGAGTGCCAGACACGGGACAGATTTTTGCAGGAAGCCACAGGACATCCTTCTAGTTTGTCAGTGAACACTGATCACTCTTGGCATTAGGTTTTCAGGCAATTGTATATAGCTTCTAACAATTTCAGCTAGAGCAATCATTTAGGAAAAAAAAAAAACCTCTAGGAGAGTATTCAAGCTACTTTAAAACCTTACTGTTAGACAGCAAAATGCCTCCTATTTACCCACATGCTGCTCAGGAGAGCAGTCAGGCACTTTTTGCTATTAATGGCAGTACTAGCTTAGGAAACTGAGCCTAGGACCCCTAATCTACAGGATATTCCTCAAGCTAATTCACATAAAATGTCAAATTAGTAGGTTTTTATGGTCTTTAAGGTAAAAATGCAGCATATCACATCTATTTATTTTAAGTGTTTTGGATCTATTTTTGCATAAAATGCATTGTTTGATGTCAATTGGCCTTGAGATATTCATGATGATGTTGCTGGCTTTTTAGAGGCTTGTAAAATTGTTTTTTTGTTGCAGTATTTTGAGTGTTAGGGCTAGCCTGACAAGGTTAATGTTCTGGCATTTCTGCCTTCCTACTCCACCCACTTTAAAAAAATGGATATGCAACATCCTCTTTCCAAGGTTTCTGTTTTCACCTGTCCCCCATAATTCTCAAAAGCATTACTTGTGAACTGCCTGAGACTGCACCACTCAGTTCTTGATGCATGTCAGAGTGAGTGCCTTTGGGTCAGTCTGAGCCAGGAAATGCTATTTAGAGAAATGTAGTATAATTTAGGCAGCAAATAAATCTGGAGTTCATCTATTGCAGTCCCAGCTCACAGGGACAACTTGAACTTACATAAGTATTTTCTGGGTTTTTTTGGTTGGTTTTGGTTTTTTTTGTGGTTTTTTTTTTTTTTTAACTATCTTATTCAAGCTTAAGCACTGTCTTTTTTATTATTAAGGTTAATAGTTGTAGTTACTTGATTACAGAGAAGACTAAACAAGATAGAGAACCAGAAAGTTGTGCATTAGCTTTTCAGTCTAACAGTGATGAACCAGGTCCTTTCATCTTTTTTTGAAGACTGTGTTTGTTGAATATTTCCCTGTTTCTGTCTGCCTATTTGTCAAGAGAAGGAAATCAAGTAGCTTCTGGGTTTGTTTGGGCCTTTATGGCCAGGTTTTGGTAGCAGGGGAGATACAGGGGTGGCTTTTGTGAGAAGCTGCCAGAAGCTTCCCCCATGGCCAGCAGGGCAAACACAGAAGAGTGACCCACACTGGGTCCAAGAGGGAAGAGTGACCCACATTGCAGCAGTTTTGGGAGGGCTGATGCCTGGGTGACGGACCCACATTGGAGATGTTCATGGGGGACTCTCTCCCATGGGAGGGAGCAGGGACACAACTCCTCTCCCTGAGCACAGCAGGAACTGTGTGATGAACAGACCAAAACCCCCATCCCTGTCTCTGTGTACTTCTGGGGGGAGGAGGTAGAGCTGGGAATGAGGGAGGGCTGAGGGGAAATTTTGTTAAAGTATTAGTTCTCATTATCATACTCTGATTTTGTCAGTAATAAATTCAATTAATATTACTAATTCAAGTCTGCTCTGCCTGTGATGGCATTTGGTGAGTGATCTCTCCCAGCCCTTATCTCAACCTTTGAAACTTTCATTATTATTTTCTCTCCCTTGCAGGGTTGCAGAGGGGAGGGGTAGAGGACTTTAGTGTGTGCCTGAAATCCAGCCAGGGTTAACCCACTACACACCTACATAATCCAGTTACTATCTTACATTCCTCTTGACTCACTTTCCTCCTGACTATCTTGAACTAACAAAATAATATTTTCATGACATTCAGAGATTAAAAGTGTTTAGAAGTGCAGCTGAACTATTTTCAATAGTGGCAATTCCTATTTCACTCCATATTTGTTTCTTGAAGGAAAAATTATTGAACAATTCGCATTCTCTTCAATGCAAAGAGAGCTGCCACTTCACTTATATACTTCATTAGGAACCTTATTGCTTATTCTTGCTAATTTTCCCTTTCTACATTGCTACTCAATGCAGACCCAAAAACTGTGTTAAGAACATGTCTCCCAAAAAAAGTCTGGCCATAAAACTCAAGTAATTTTTAACTGGGGTAGCTTTAGAACTAGAAATGGTTTTCAATATTTATCTATATTTGGGTTTGATGCACTGCTAGCTCTTAATCTGTTTAAATCTACAACATAGAAGTAATTTTCCCAGAATGACTAAAAAAACCCAAAAATCCCTCATTTCTCCCTTTAATCAGAAAAGAGTTATTTCCAGGTCTATCACCTTCTGACACAGACACTATAATAGCAAATATTATTTGTATTAACCTCTTTAATACAATAGAAAAGAGTGTTACAGTGTAGAGTTTATAAGCTCTTTCTCAGGTTTATTCTCTTTCAGAAAGAAATCAATATAATTTCTAGTGATTTGATTTTGAATGATGTCTCTGGGCATTATCTTTATTAATGGAATGTATTATCACTGGCATTGATTTCTGCTTGGGAAAGGAGGCTGGCACACAGTCTGCACTGCTCTGGGTGTCTCCTGGGAATGGCACCACTCTGACCTGTAGGCAGCTGATGCACACCCCCAGAGGAGTGAGTTAACACTTCTGCTGGTATGGAGCTGAACCAGCTGACACGAGCCCTTGGCAAAAGTCTCAGAGCTGAATTTAAAGTGCACTTGTGGGTCTAAGTGTTTGTGCAAATGCTGATATTTTCTCAGTTGTGGTTTCTAAAGCCCAGAGAATGTGTCTAGACTAATCACTGAGATGTGCAAGTGAATTTAAAGCAAACTAGCATGCAAAGATAGGATTTTGAGTCCTGAAAGCAATAGAGCTGTGCTAGAATTGCATTATACAGGACTAAATAATACTGTTTCTCTACAAGGCAGTTTCCCTGGTGTGAGTCTTTGCTGGCAGGGTCGTGGCTGCTGGAGCTGTAGGTGGCTGAGAGTGGGGCTGAGCCCCTGCTCTGCTTTACTGCCCACTGTGAGCTCATGGAGCCAGTGGGGTCAGATCATGATTACAGATATTTCTGTTTATGAGAGCTGGGGATTTTCAAAATAGCTCTTGATGAAAACACAGAGTTACTTTTGGATTTTTTGTCAATGAGACTTCACTTGTGGCTAAAATCTTCTTTAAAAGTGCTGCTTCTTGGGCAGTATTATTAAAAAAGAACATGAATTAGGACTTGACACACCTCTGAAATACTGAGTGTTTGCAAATGCATCAAATAACCCTGTCCGTTCAGGAGATGTGGCATGTTTGTGTGCTTCAAATCCCTCTTACTTCAGCATAATCATGTGTTCAGTGATACATTTTCATGTCTCACAGAATAAACACAAAAGCTTTTCCATTTAAACAAATCACTTTCTGTTACATGGGCATTCAAAGTAATTTACCTGTACATCTATAAAGCAAGTGCAATAAATACATTTGTCTTGTATTTGGATTCAGCTCCACAGAATAATTTTCTCTTTTCAGCTAAGCAAAAATACGAAAGATGACTAGAAGTGAACGTTGCAATATTGCATTGTGCCAAATTCATTCAATTCAATTTTCTAAGGGAAAATATTGTGACATCAGTATTCAACTCCATGCCTTGGAGTGCTATGCTTGGAGTGCTATTCTATACATGTATAGAATTGGGTTTTTTTCTTGTAAGAGATGAAAATGCAGCTACATTCAAATCTTAATAGTTCTTGTTGAAAATACTTTTTTCCCCTCCTCTTTCTTATTTTTCCTTCTTACTTCTTTCTTCCTTCATCCTTTTCTCTTACCCCTTTTCCTCTTTTATATCTTCTTTCTTTTTTTTTTCCCTTAAACAGAATGCAAGAATGAACATTATAACTGCCAGTTATGAGCCTTATAACTGCCAGTAAAATATGGAATAAAAGGAAAGAAATTCACAGAAAATGCCATTATCAAATGGTCATGTATGCCAAAGACCAGGGAACACTTCAGTTTGGAAAACACGCAGAGACAGGAGAGCAAGGTTGTGATTTTAAAGTGATGTCACTTTGCTTGTGAAATAAATGCACAAAACTGTGCATAGATTTACATTAGTAAAAGTTTCATTACTTTGTTCTATACTGCAGGACTGTGTTTTTCCCCCTACTCACTCACTGCTTCCTAGTAGTCAAAAGAGACAATTTTTTACTACAAGGTTTCATCTACTCCAATTTTTAATGTGAATAAAAGCATCGAAAAAAGTAGCACGAAATAAGTCTTAAAGCATTAAAATCCAATATTCCTTATGTGTTGAAGAAAGCTCAGTTACAGACATCCATAGGTGGATAAATGTACCTGAATGCACTATTGTGGTCATGCTTGTGCAGTGAGCACTCAATGCAGCTCTGCACAAAAATGAATCCAATGCTTTATTCAAAACTCTGCAAATCAAATCAATTGATTGTTGGTTATCCCCAAAATTTCTGAGAATATAGTCCAGTTTGGAATAAGTAGCTGTAAAAATCTTAAGGCTTCAAGAACTGATCTGGAGTGCCAAGCTCCCATCAAATGTATAACTGGGGAAATAAAGTTGAATCTTTGTAAAAATATCTTACAAACTGTATTGTAGCTATGGCAAAAAAAATATGGCTCTGTCAGATATTTTGCCTATGAGGAAAGTGGGCCAATTTCTGCAGTTGAGGAAGCCCTTAGAAAGCTCTTTAAAAATGAGGCCAAATTCTTCTGCTACAAAGCAAGTGCAATGCTCACTGGTTTTAGAATGCTGCTCATGTTGTGCAGTTGGAGAAGTGACATGATCCAAATAAAAAGAAATAGATCAGCTTTTTTTCTCTGGTAGTACTGACACATCAACTGGAGCTCATGGGTGAGTGTACAATGATGCAAACTTTTAAGCTATTCAACTGACTATTCAATATAACTTTTAATACTTTATAGTGTTTGATTTCAGACTTCATCTTTCTACCTTATGCTGTGCCATTTCTCAAGTTTTACAGAAATGGCAATGAAGTTTTGGAGGAAGAGGAATCTCGCTCTGTGACTGCAGCTTCTGCTTTCCAAAATGTAAGTTTTTTGCCTTGGAATAAGGCCAAGGTACACAGTATCTACACAAAGATTTCCAACTTTCTTCTAGAGAAACTCTTACATGTTTTCAGAAGTGAAAATATGAAGTGAGATTTTAATGACAGAATATGATTCTGAATTTGTGTGAAATGTCTTATTCCATGTAGCTGTAATGTAGATTGTGTATGCTACCATTCAAGGTATACATTCACCCTTATTCTCAAAGAATGGACAGTTCAATAAATTTTTTTACTCTCAGGAATACTAGGTTTTTCATTATTGTTTGGTTTTGGATATTAATCATAAAGCCTTTTCCTAGCCAACAGTCATCTGCAGTTTCTACTCTGTTGTTGGGTTCCTGTGATACTTTATATTTACCTGTGTCAGAAAGTTCTCATTTGAATGGCTTGTCTTCAGTCAGCTCTGGCTGCTGGCACTGGTGACATCCTTGATGAGTGCTGAGAATGCCATGCCACAGTCTACATAAAAACATTTTGGAAGAATTGACAGTCATGAAAGACAGACATTTTTGTCATTTTATACAATGGAAGTTAAAAGATTTTTTAATATTAAAACAAACACAAATGAATGGAAACCCAGACCTACCCCTCCCCCCCAAAAAAAAAAACCCAAACCAAAATAATTATATTGGCATAAGTGCATTCATGCATTTTAATATAATACTTTGATAAATAAACTAAAATGTGCAGTTATTTGTTTTCCAATATACATACAAAAAAAGGGTTTTTTAGAGGTATTGATACATTATTACAAATGAGATGCTGGGAGAAGTCTCAATCAGATAAATTTACCAGGCAGGTAAAGTGTCCACCTCCTATGTTGCTGAAGTTCAATAACATGCTCTTCCATCTGTCTCTCATCTATGTAAGCTGTTATTTAGGAATAGCTATTGTCTTTTAAATTAATGAATTTTGTCTTTATTGCAGCTATCAAATTTAAGCAAGTCCTTTGTAATCACTGAAACATCAAACTTTTGACTTGGCAGTGTATAACCAAAACTCAGACAAAAGCACACCAGAACAAGATTAAAATTAGCAGGTAAAAGCTCAGGTATTTCTGAATCTCAGAATATTTGTAGCAGGGCTGCTTTAAAATCTACCACCAGCAGTCAAGTGCATTCCTCAGTCCTGATGCACTTTATCTCCTCAGCAGTCTGCCCTGCTACTCACAGCTGATGCTTGCATTTGCTTTTCGTAAGAGTTTACCTCCAGTCCAAAGTCTTGCCCTTGCCTTCACGAGACTCCAGGCAGTATTCACCAGACCAGCTGTAGACTCCTACATCTGAGTGAGTCAACACAGGCTCACTGCACTGTCAGAGAAGAGAAATAGGTGCTTGGTGACACAAATCTCATCCTGAGGTCAGCGCCTAAAATAGAGCCGAAAATTCTTGCCCAGCAGTGCTTATTTCTTTCTCTGTGGACCATATTTGGGTAAGATGAATTCCACCCACGCACAACTGAACTTCTGCAGCAGAGGGAAAAAGTGGTCTGCAGACTCTAAATACTATCTAGATTATTACAGAAGACACCCTACTGCAAATATTTCCCCTGCTGGGACTGACTAAGTGAGCAGACAAGTGAGGAACACGCTACAAGACCTAATGAACGCTGGAGGAGGTGCTGGCTGCAGGGAGAGCTGGGTGTGAATGTACAGGATGTGGCAATGCAGGGGGAGATATGAGCCCAAATGCTTTTCCCAATTTGGTAATCTGCCATGCAGCTCTTACTTTATCTAAGCATGAATGTACTCCTGTTCAATGTAAAGGCTATATTTAATCAGCCTGTGACATCGGCATCCTACTCCTTTTCTCAGAACAATTAAAATATTTCATATTAAATCAGTGCATATGTTGTTCCTGGTTATCTCTGAGATCACTTAGTACTCCATATGATCTGAAAATAACTGCTTGAGACATTACAACTGCTGATTTTCATGGCACAGAGTCCTGCTGAGAAAGAGAATTTTCACATAAAATCTTTTGCTTTTAGGATTTGGTTCCCTGTCAAGTCTGCCAGAGAGTGTTTTCTGATTTCTGTGGCAATCACAATATGCTTAGTGATAATTTTTCTCTATACTATCATTTGTCAAGAAGAGATGGATGTTCCTGGATCTCCTCTGAGGAATTTTAAAAGCCAATACATAGGGAATTTCCTTTCTTACCTAAACAGCTTCTGGTTACAAAAAGGGGTATTACTATTTTTTGCACATCAGCTAGGGGCCTTTCATAAAAGTATGTTGCTGTTTATGAAAACATGTCTGTCAATTTAACAGTTAGGTAGATATCAGCTTTCATTTGTTGGATCAGAAATAACATACTGATTTTCTAATGCTATGTTGTTTTGCAAACTGATTGAAATACTGTAGTGGACTCTCAGCTTTCTGATTTCATTATCATTAATGCAATTTTCTGTGAAGTTTTTTTTCCCCCCTAATAGTTATTGGTGCTTACAGGCTTATTATCATGGTTGTGCAATCCATGACAATGCTAGGATTTGCATGCCTTTTCACCATCAAACCAATCTACAAGGTTTTGGATGAGAGGTGGGAGAATTAGTAGATGGTTAAATTATCATAATCAAGTTTTCAGTGATTTAACTGATTCTCTTTGATTTCACAGTGGCAACAGGACATAAATTTTACTGACTTAAAAAAAAGTTATTTTCACCTGTGTTACAAATGAGTGGTTTTGGCCACTTAAAGGATCACCATCAAGGTGATTGACAAAACTAAGGTTTTAATAGGAATTTATGAAAGTACAACCTCAACAGACCTCGATGACAAAGTTGAGTCTGTTACTTTATATAGATGAAGCATGGATAGGAAAATCAGATTGGAATAAATTTGTGATTATTTACATAGAGACCAGGATGGGAAAGGGTAAGAGTGCAAATAAAGGTGCAAAATTCAGAGATGTATAAATCTTTGTGCACAAAGGTACTTATCAAAAACTCGGTGAAATGCAAGTCCCTTTGTGTTTCTCATCAGGCATGGCTTGCACCTTGAGGAATGTCCTGTGGGGTGTCAGCCTAAATCTTGTCATCAGCAATGGTCTTTCAGATATTGCCAGATGAAGGGTTTGTGAGCTCCTAGAGTCCCACACCGAGGGAGGTGTTGGTGCAGCCTGTGGTCCAGGACAGCTCAAAGGAACTCACTTAGGACAGCTGTTTATAAGGTCTCAAGAAGATTGTTTTTAGTCATCTGTAAAATCTCTGTCCTCAGATTGGTAATTACTGGAGTTTATAATAGGTTTGGAATTTGTTTCCAAAATTCCAGCAGCAATGGTAAAATGGTAAAAACCTGGACACAAAAGCAAATGGAGCAGTAAGATCTCACTTCTACCTCTTCACAAAAAATTTCCTAGGCTTGCCAGAGTAAGGCAAACATTTTGATGGGACAAGGGCCAGTGTAGAGTAGGCACTCAACCTTTGCTGAAATTTGACTTGCATCCATCTCTTGGTCTACCATTCCATCTTCTAAACCCATCTTGGGTTTATAAACATTTTGAATACTGTTTTTAGGACATGTCATGTCTTCCACATGCAACTCAGAGTTCAGCTACCTGACTACACACTCAGCTCTCTTTGAGGAGCTTCCCTTGTGGGGACCTGACTACTGATAGTGGCCTCAGCAAAATTAGTGGCTTGTAAGTTAGTCAACAGTTTGTGTATAAGATAGTTCCACCACCATGGTGTCTTCACCCTATGATATCTTTATTTGATAAATAAAGATATATATGAAGATATACTATGATATCCATGAAGACATGGAATGGTAAGATATACTCAGATAAAACTTGCAAGTTTTTTTGCTTGAAAATGACAGAAGTTTTCAAATTTTTTTTCTAAATTTCAGTGAGCACACAAACTTCCATCAGTTGCATCTCTTCTTATTGCTGAACTTCAATCAAACATATTCTAGATTTCCAACAATTAAAGCATTAATCTGAGCTTAGCATCTAATAGGAGAGAATTTTCCTGGTAAGTACAAAGGGGCACTGCCTTCAGTCATGTTAGCTTTCAGGAATGGAGACAGGTAAGCTAATCCTTTCTTTCCAGCCAGACTACTCTGAAAATAGGCCAGGTCCCACTGGGAACAAAAGATGCTCCTAGAAAAGTCTGTAATTAGACGACTTCAACTGCTCTACACAAATGTCTCATTAAAGTTCCACTATGATCAAGCCTGCTGATGCATAATACAGACATAAACACCTCAGCTGAAAGCTGTGTTTTCTGTGATTCATTCTCTGAAGCAAACATTATAGAATGATTATCTCTTTAATCCAAACATATAGTCATTCTTCTTCATTGATAACCCAGTCAAACGCCTACTATATCTTACAGAATATTTTCTAATGATTTAGAAGGATCCAGTAATTTGGATTATGGCCTGAGAAAGTCTCATGCAGGACCTGCAAAAAGACCCCTCATAACACTCAGTTCATTCATCTCAGATGTAGGTACAACTTGCAGCACAAGTCAATTTTAGTTGACGTTTATATTTAAATGCTGAGGTTAAGTCTGATATTTTAGAAAGTAAAGTCAAAGGGATGAAGCATGGGAGAAAGAAAAGTAAACATGGTAATTTCGTTAATTTATTTTCTAATTTATTCACTGAGTTCTGAACTGTGTGCCTCTTTGCAATGTAGCTGTCTTCAAGTGAAAGTCAAAATATCTTTTCTGAAATGAAGATTATGGTGATTAAGTACTAAAAACTTAGTTTTTGACACTGATTCCTGATATTTCACCTCGCATCCCATCAAAACCTATCTACTGAAAGCAATAGTGGTTCCTACTGGGCACATGACCACAGGGTAGCCCTGATCAACTTGCTGCTTTTGTGTATTCACTGTGAGATTGCAAAATCAATTTTCTCCTTTTAAGACTGATGGTGTCAACTCCTGGCAGTAGCTCATATCTAGACTGTGTTCCTTTCAGCAGGAAAGGGGAGGCAGAATAGTGATATTCCTCCCTGCTTTTTGGTTAAATAATGAGCAAAGTTAGAGAAATTTTGTTTTTCAATAGAGAAGTCCTTGAAGGCCAATGATACGCAGTTAAGTGAAATATGGCTTGCTCACTATAATTTTTCCTAACTGATTCAGCAACTCTTTGGAAGGAATTTTGACTTTATTAAAATGAACTGGGGGAAATGGGAGAGAAAAGTGAAGCCTGTAGCTAAAGTCTTACTTTAAGATATTCACAGAGAAAACAAATGATTTTGATGTCAATTAAGGTAATCAAAATAAATTTTGAGAAAAGAGTTGCATCTGCAGTCGAAGAGGAACAGAGAAAAGTCCATGTATGTTAGACTTTCTTTTGCATAGGAAACAATTAAATATTTTATTTTTAATACAGTTATTTCCACACTATGTCTATCTTTTTTCTTCTAGGGATTTGCAGAGAGTTTTGATGTTCAAGGCTTGTTTTGAAGCCCTCTGCGTTGCAGTTTTCTGTTTCGGATCCTGGGGACTGACAGATGCTCAGATTCTTCTTGGTGCAGTGCCAGCAGTGGCAGCAGGTAGTGAAGTGCCCTGCGTGCTGCCAGCCCAGCTGGCATGTCCACACATTAATTGGTTCTCAAGTCAGTCGTCCTGAGTCCAACCATTTGTTGCTTTCATTGACTACTGCCTTATCTCATTAATCAATGTTCTTCAAACTTGTGTAAATCCGATCTGCAGACCTGTAGCAAGTAAAACTAGAAATACAGCTTTGTGTAACATTGAAGTTCAAAACTTAATGGTCTGCAAAATAAGGATGACTTCCTAACTTTTACAGTTAGCACACTGGAGACTGAACTGCTGTCTCAGAAAATGATCACAGAGCACTGAGGAGCTGGAACCTGAATAACTGAGGGAAAGACTGGAGTCTCTCCTCCCAGACATGTTCTCTCTCTCCATCCTCACTGTGCTGAGTTCCTGCCAAAATATCTTTAAAGTTGGGAAACAATTTGAAGTTGGGAAACATGTTCCTTTTCTCTATAAATATGGTGGAGAGGAGCAGTACTGGTCATTTCACTTTCTTCAAGCAAAAGTAGGAAGAGCTATGAAAAAAAAAATTAGTTAGATTTATCAACTCTTTTTCAGTGACATTTTTTCTTTAAAGCCATCCAACTAGAATGCAATTCTCATTATCTGCTTTAAACTGTAAAGCACTTACTAGAAGTCTTTCAAGTACTCTGGGCTTCTATTTTTCTTTATGCTCATTGATTATCTCAAGACACACCTATCTCCCCACCTCATTTTTATAAATAAGCCATTTCTAATGTTTGCAAACATTGATCCTGGCTGACAGCAGATAGGGATACACCTAGGAGGGGGATGAATGGGCTGGAAACAGGCTCCCCTCCAACATCCAGCTGCAGCTCTGCCATGAGGGCAGTGAGAATGCAAAGTGCAGCACCATGGTTTGTTTTTCTTTGGCTCCCTTGCCCTAGATGGTCCCTCTCCCACAGGGCTGCTTCTCTCCTGCTGCAGTGCCTGTCTGCTGTGCTGCTCCTTCTGTGACTCGGGAAAATCACTTCAATTCCCATCACTGTGAGAAATCACTTTAGCTAGATTACTTTCCCTATTGACTCCAGGTTCTGTACATGCTTTTCCAAGTTGGAAGAGTGTTATGTGGAAGGAATTTGTCACTGTGAGTGCTCTTGTGTTTGGGGTGTGGGGAGAAAGACTACAGCATTGAATAAAAGGATAATGGCTGCTGCTTGATTGCGGAGTCTTCCCTTCCCTTTCTACTATTAAAAGTTGTTTTTATCTTTTCAGATAAAGGAAAAGAGATGGAAACAAGAGGGATCCTTTGCCAGTCCTCACAGTTCTGCTGGTGAGCTTTCTTTCTACTATTTTTATATTAATCCGCAGAGTCTCTATTCTTCTTTCTAGAACATTACCCTGACAGAGGTTCTGTACACGAATAGCTCTTCAGAGAACTGTTGACATATCTCTTGAAAAAGTATCCCTGAGAATTCACTTTGATATGACACATCAAGCATTGTGGTCTCAAGGTTGTTTGAACTTCTAAAGAACATGGAGCAGAGAAGAGTTTGTTCTAGCTGAATTGAGAGGAGACTTCATCAGTCCACCAGCATTGTTTACACAACCTTTGTGTGATATATCACCATGTGACCTGTGGGTGTTTGCTGCCTTGAGAACCATAATACTGGCTCAGCCCTGGCTCAGCTCAGCTACTTCCAGAGCAGGGCTGGGTCATATCCAGCAAGCTTTGGTCTCCAGGGAGTTGGGTCATGTCTATACCCACCAAAGTTGTCCATTTTTACCCCTGAATTGATCTGAGAGAATCCTTCACATGGGATCTGCTTTGTTTGTAGAAATATTTTTGAACCTCAGGTATCTTCTGCACAACTAATACCAAATCTAAGTATGCTGACTGTATTACCTGGGAAAACCAGCTCTGGAGAGAAGGTATCTGATGTTTGCACATCTGATGTTTGATCAGGGGGCTCCTTTCTTCTGCTCTCAATGCCAGAAGGACAGGTGAGATGAGAGGGTGAGACATATGCCTAGAGTAGCCCTGAGCCATTCTGACCCTCAGTTGCAGTTTGGCCCTTTGATCTTGCTGGTGGAAGCTAGAGCAGCACTTGAGAGCTCTGAGCTGAAAATGAGAACATGTCTAATCAGGAACACAGAAACCACCCCAGTGAATGTCCATACTGGGATTACAGGACCTTCCATGTACAGAGCCATTCAAACCTAGTGCATGGCTCTGTAAACTTCATTTGGTCATATCCTGAAATGTTTGGGTGACTGTCTGCCTTAAACCTTATCCTTCCCCTCTAAATTATGACCTCAGTGTGTAAAACCTTTTACTGAAAAAGGTCTCTCAGGTACACATATCCCTTCTGACATGAAGACGTACTCTTGCTAAAAACAAATGCAAAACCTTACTTGAATAAAGGAACTTGTGATTTTGTCTCTCTGAGCTGTGCATGTGCAAGCTTACCAATGTGGGACACCCTGGAGAGTTTTTCAGCAAGAAAGGAAATTGTCTGCAGCTCAGAGCCCTGTGGGAGCCTGAGACTTGGCTTCTGCTTGTGTCCAGCACAGCAAACTTACACCTCTGTAGATACAGCATGGCTCTGTGTGTCAGGATGACTGCTGATATGTCATGTGTTCATGTACAGCATGCTGAAAATGTACATCCAATAAAAGTATAATTGTTACAAGATACAGTGAAATGAGAAAGTCTTGTGCTATTGGCATATACAAGGAGAAAAATACTTCCATAATCAATTAAAAACGAAGTCAAATAAGGTACAGAGCACAATTATTTTTGTCACTCTGAATTTCAGTACTCAGTACCTTTCTTTCTCAAAAGGGAAAATTGTGCCCACACAATGCAGAATTTCACATGTGTTTTCCCCTCTACTAATGTTGTATCCACATTCTTGTTTAGTTCTGAGCAAGTGCTGGTAGACATTTTAAGAGGAATCCTGGAGAGTTATTCACATTATCATCAAAAATAGGACTTTTATTTTCACAGTTTCTCTGTCCTCTAGCAAGACCTTTTGCTGGAAATTAAGGGACATCTCCTGTAGTTCTCAAAGCAGTAGCACAGGCTCCTTGGAGGAAGAACTTAGGAAATAAAAAAAGCCACAAAGAAGCTCATGGGACAGAAAGGGCAAAAATGGAGTGGAAGAGGGAGAAAACTTACCAGCAAGACCATACATCTGCTCAGCTGGGACAAGTGCAGGTTTGAATGAAGAAGATCTGAGAGAGAAAAGAAATGATTGTCAAGGTAAATATGTGTTTTGATGTTTTGCCAAAGGAGTGGGTGGGTGTTCACAACAGACTAAGGAGAGTGTAAGTGATTTTGTGGGTGGTCCTAGGAAATGAAAGAGAGCCTGGGGAGGGTGGTGTGAGGAGAGGATGTTCAGGAGGTTTGAGACTTTACTGCAATCTGGGTAAAAAAGCAGAACTCTGAACAGGAATCTGCTCAGACTTTTTAAGGATAAGTCCCACTTGCTACTGCGGCGGTACAACCTGATAGAAAAGTCTTAGTGGATTCATTTGTATGGAAGGAACTACCTGGATGTTTTAGCAATATAAAGAGACCAGAAATTAAAGCCAGTTGAGGGATAGAGAATTTCCAGTCCTGTGTGGATTTTTTTTTTTTAATTGATAATTAACCTCACTTGAAAATCTCATATCCTCATTCTGGTTTGAGTTTTCCAAACTTAACTTTCAGCTGCCAGTCACTGAATTGTACTGTGCTTTTTAGCTGATGCCTTACAGATCTTGCAAGCATCTTTATATGGTCTTGGGTGGTTTTTTTTTTTTTTTTTTTTTTTTTTTTTTTTTTTTTGTTTTTTTTTTTTTTTTTTTTTTTTTTTTTTTTTTTTTTTTTTGTTGGCATGGTTTGGTTTTGATATATTAGTGTCATGTGGTGGACATAAAAAAATATTTCCTTCCTCAGTTCATTTTTTTGTGTTTTGGGAGGCATTTGGATTACATTTTACCCTTATAAAGGCTCCTAAAATACTTTTATGTTTCTCAGAGGTGGACAGATCCTTTTTATAAAGTTGGGTGAGGTAAAGGGAAGGTGATTATTTTTTCTTAACTAATTATAACACTTGAGATCAGGTGCTGTAAAAACTGGGGCTGAGTTTGACCTATTCACACTCTTTTGCTTCTACCTCCTACTTCTACAATCTGCACCTGATATGAGATACATAATGTAAATTTGAATAAATAGGAGTTTACTTCTCATCTCATATGATGATACATGAACAAAATATAGATCACAATAAAAAAACAAAAACTCTTAAAATCCTGATATAATTTGGATAGCTTTTGTACTTCAGGACAAAGCTTGGCAAGTTGAGCACATTTATTTGCTGAAAGCCATCTGCTGGAAAAGATTGGATGTCGAACAGTAATTCTAGGTTATTACTGCAATTCTGCAAAGGAAGGAAGTGGGAATTGACTACTTCTTTTTCAGCTCCTCTAAACCAAATGAGAATGACAAACGCTGGGAAAAGAAACATGATTTAAAACTCTGGGTGCTCTCTCATGGGAAAGAGGCAGAAATAATTGATGTCTACAACTAAACTACTCATTAGGATGGACATGTGTGTTAGGGAACTTATGGCTGAACAACACAATTGACTTTAGTCAGAATGTTTCTCTCAGTGTATAAAAATATCAGCAGTGAACAAAATAGATCTGCAGTGAAGGCAACAACACAGGCCACTTCTTAGGAGAGACAATTTTCTTCACAAGTTTTCTTGACATGGCAATCTGCCAGAGTTATTTCTGTGGTCCCTGGCTTGTCCTTCACTGGGACAAGACTATTCACAGAGGTGAAGGTAGGAATACAATCCTCTTTTGTCATGCAGCATCATGTTGTTCATTGTAAGTGTGCCTGTGTCTCTGGCTATTGCTCTGAGCCTGCCTTGATTATCTTTTGTGTTCTTTTATATGGCCCCGAGGTCTCTGAGGGTAAACACAATTTAATGGGCAGTGTGGTTACTGCTCCTCTGCAGAGCTAGGCAGAAAATAAGTATATACATTTACATAAATGTACAGGCCCTCTTTACACTGTGAGGGATTGCATGGGCTGGGAACCAGGACAGACCCCTGTGTACAGACCCCAGCATCCAAACCCCAGCAAGGGATGGGTGCCCCTAGGCCTTTCACAGCATCTTTCCAAATGATGGAAGGGCACACCATCATCCTAATGGCAAGCCAGTATAACCAGCTTTAAAGCAGGAGCTTTATTCCTGCTTTAGGTCAAGGACACAAGGACAAAAAAGTCAAACTCAATAGGGCCCCGGGCAGCAGCTCCAAGGGTGCAGCTCTTGGCAAGCAGAAATTTCCTCAACAAAACAGCATCTTGGTTTGTAAATCACAGAATTTAGTGATTGATGTCCAAAATTAAATCAGACTATCTCTTCCCAAGAGTTTCCATAAAGCTGCTTTTTTAGTAATTTCCCATCAAGGAAAACAAATCAATAATTTACTCGATTTCTTTTCCAGTGCTCCCTATTAGCCAGAGGAGAGGCCAGCTGGAGAGGGCTGGGCTGACACATCTGCTCTGTGCAAGAAGGCAGGTGTGTCACCTTCCTGTGAACACACAGCCCAGGGCTGCTCTGCCCTGCTCAGCCAAGCCCCTGTGGCTGCTGATGAACCCAGATAAGGGAAGTGGCTTCTCCTGCCATGCTCTGACTCCACCCCTGTGGGCATTAAACAGCAAAGAGAACACCCAGCTGTGGCCTGGGCCAGAACCTGAGATCTCAGCAGGCATCATCCACAAACTATTGAGAACACTTCCCTTGTTTCCTGTCTAAAAAGGAGTTAAAACACTTCTTTCATGGGCACAAGTTAAAACCCACATCACAGGGGATTTAAGCTGACTTCTTTAAGCAGAATCATGTCTACAAATATCTGCCTTTTAAACTGCCATACAAGTAGCCTTTACAATTTCTTTGCTGCCTTCCCACTCGCACATAGATTTTTGAAATCCAATGAAAAAACTTAATCATGCAGCTCAGGCAGTATAGGTACAAACTGGAACTTTGTGTTTTAAAAAGTGCCTTAAATACATTATGCAGGTGTATGAATAAGCACTCTTACAGAGCCATGATTGCTCATTATGTTTTCCAAGGAGTTTATTTCTGCAGAAAGGTGGCAATTCATTCACCTCAATGTCTGTTGGTCTTAACTTTAGTAATCATTATAATCAGATTTATTTTTGATCTTTTTCTGATTTAGGTGACTAAGCAGCATGTACATAGCCTGTGTTGCTATTAACTAGTGTTCTGGAACTCTTTTTAAGACTTTAACTTTTACTTGTAAAGTTAGAGCATACATTCTTTGTGGACAAGACCATCAAATGGGGCAATCTCCTTGTCATTTTCCTGTGACACCAGAAACAACTGGATTTTCTAAGCTGTTGTGAGTGAGGATGTCACTAACAGCTCAAATTAGCTGAATTTCTGTTTTGTAGGAAATTCTGACCTTTGGAAACTTGTTATTTTTGACCAGAATGATTTGCAATGCCTTTGGAAATCATGAAAAGGTCTGGGCCATTTTAAAAAGCATCATTCCCCGTTTCTAGGAAATCTTGAATTGCATAGTTAAAATAATTTCAACATCAGTGTCCTTATCTTTTTGGTAATGATTTTTATATGCAAATTTCTGCTGAAAAGAGTAAAGATCCCAGAGTCAGGCTGAATGTCTTCTCTTTAACTTCCTTTTCTTGTAGTCCAAGAGGGGAGCTATGAGTGCCAGGGAAAAGTGAGCATTGCAGAAACTGCTGCTTTTCCCTCCCACAATTTTTTTAGCACAGAGCAGGAGAAGTGCTGGTTCTTTCCATGATAGTAAGACACTTTTTTATTCTTTGCCACTAGCAAAGTGATGCTGTGATGCTGAAGTAGATGTCACATGGACTCAAAAATCTTGAGGAACAGGAGAGGACACTGGTGGAGCGAGGGAAAGCAGAGTCTGCAGTAACAGATCCCAAGTAGGGAAGCTGACAGTGAGAAATGAAGGGAGAACCAGGGTAGCACACAGTGATGACACCTCAAACAAAGCAAGAAAAAGAAGCTCCTGCCACAAGGCAAAAAAAAAAAAAAAAAAAAAGGGGGAAAAGTATTTTAGTTCATGTTAGTTGATGACATTTCTTGGAAGTAATAGTTTCCTTCCTTTTAGGGAACCTGAACATTTCCATTATTCTGTTACTGAGGGGGGAGAAGCTTAATTGTCCAGAATTAATCTCATACTCCAAACTGACCATTGTTGAGCTTGCTCTTGTAGTCTCCTACAGAAACAATCTGTCCTCTTTTCAAGAACATGTTAAACCAGTGGCTGATTTCATCCTTATTTGATGTCTCAAATGGAACAGAATTCCACCAATTTTTGTAGAAGTGGGTAACCAGGCAAGAGAGAACTGGGGTAATAGACAGTGTCAAGTTTACTCCTATAAATTCTATCATTATTGTATGTAAATCCTCATTCTCTTGTCTTCTTCAGCAAGATGACTTTGCAAAGCACATTACCTTTGCTTCAAAATGCTACAAAGCTGTGCAAGGCAAAGAGTCTTTGAATGAACAGTTCAGGAAAAGACTGTCAGACCCATCCTCTGTCCCTCTACATGGTTCCAGTGGCTGGACTGAAACCAAAAGATGTCATAAAGCAATTTATGATGGACATGGAGAAGACAGAAATTAGAATTTGGCATATCCTTTGTGGTGTCTCTGTACCTTTTGCGGACCGTGTGTGTAGAGAGGATCCTGGCAGGTGAATGGAAGAGGCTGTACAACAGCTCAGCTGGTACCTGATGCAAATCAGAGCTGCTGCACACCCTCCCTGGGTGTGGGGGGACTCCAGGCATGTCTGACTGTTTTCCTCCACTAAACCCACCTCTGCCTGAAATGTAAACTTTAAGGAATTTAGAGATTTTAGAGGAGCTAAGATTTTAGTTAGAAATAAGCCTTACTAGAGTTAATTAAAATAATAATAATAAATGAGTAGGCCTTGATGAAGTTAAGAGTTAGTAGTTAACTAATAATTGATTGCTTGTCAGCACAATGTTTAGTTAGCTGGGTTTATAATGAAGAATATAGAAACTGACAAAGAGCTTTTAGGAACATAAGACAATTGTGGGCCTCCTCTGTTCTGAAACCAATTGAAGACAAGGAATGGGAGTTCTACCAAGAGTTCATTTGTCATAGTTGCATTGAAAAGGTAGAAAGGTCAGAACGAGGAAGACTTCATTTACTTCCTCATTTTGACCTCATTTACTTCCTCATTTTGGGACACCTTCCCATGAAAGGGACACCGACCCACTTCAAGGAACAAACTGTGCATGCTTAATAGCTTTTGAAATGATTAGCTTGTGAAGTAAGGAATGGGATGTACCAAAATTTTGAATATGTATTTGTATTTTGGGTATTCAATACTTGTATGGATAAAAGGGCTCTGTAATCACTTGGAAGCTTTGGTGTGTATTTGGGAGCTATCCTGCATGCTGCCCAGCATTGAATAAACATACACTTTCTAACTTTAAACTGTTAGAGAGCTTTTGTCCATCACAGTTAGATATTGGTACTAGATCAATATCCATATTTTTTAAATAAATCATCAGCTCTCCTTTTACTCCCCTTTTACTGCCTCCAATGATATAAAACCCTGGGTCCTGTTCTAAAAACTGTTGAAGTCCTCATCACTAACCCTGATTCAACTATCTCTTTTTTGCAGGTATATTTTCTTCCAGCTGGTCCTCTTGTTCACATCTGCTTCTAACAACAGAGCAAGCTGGATGTTTGTTCTGAGATTGAAAACAGTCAGCCTGTAGCCTTTTTTTTCATCTGAGACTTAGATCTTAGACTCTTCTGATGTCAGCCATTAGTACCTTCCAGTAGAGCATCCTCCATGGACACTTCCTTTCCTGTTTCCTCTATTAATTTTTAAATATGAATGGCTGATAATTATAGCTAAAAGTGCATTTTTGCCTTGTTTTCAGTTCACCCATCCACAAAATATTTACCAACTTTTTCCAAATTTTTTTTTAATCTAATGTCAATAATTACTCTTTAACATATTAGAATAAACCCAAACATATCTCACTGTAATCCACTTATGTTGGCATTTCTCTCTTTGTTGGTTTATTTTTCAGGTTTTCCTGAAAATTTTGAAGTTGTTTTCTTCCACTTCTTATGCAACTTCAGATTCATGCCATGAAAACTGGTACTGAAAGTATTGCTTTTTAAAAAGAACCCTCATTCATTAATCATGATGGCATCTCATATTAACTAGTTAATGTATAAAGGCCTTTGGGCACTTATGAATCTGTAATTTCAAATCTAAAATGAAGCAATAGTTTTTCAGGCAACCAAAGAAAAATTCACCAAGGGCAAAATTTAACATTATGCAACTATTCCAAAAATACTCATTCTATACACGGCACAATACACTTTTTAGAAGTAAAAATCAAAACACACTGGAGAATTTGCATATGAAAACCTGGCTGCTTTCTAGGTAGAATGTCAGTTCTGTATTGAATCCTTATCATTCTGAAGAACTCTTCCTTGCAATCAAAGAGCCCTTTAAAAAAAATTGTGAAAAAGCTTTTTAAATTTATAAGGAGCTTTTATAAGGTATGTATATGTATATTCAATTTAGAGCAATATATCATATGGATGACTCTAATAGTTTTATGATAATCTGAATGATACCTTACCAGTAATCCTACAGATTTTTAAGGGTGTTTCTGTTACTTAATTTCAGTAAATTTTATGATCTGGGTGAATATTATTAGCCTGTAAACATAATAAATCAGTTTTTGAATCTCATGTGAAGTTTTTCATCATCTTTAGATAAATTCCTTCTGATGCATTCAATACACAAATATTACGAAAGATATGAAAATATTCTTTGTTGCCAAGGAAGTCACTTATTCTGGGAAAAGGATGTATTAGACAAATTGTGATAAATTATTTGAAAATATTCAAGTGAGCTGGAAGCAAAGAATGTCCAAAGGAAGAAGAGAATCAGAAGAGTGATGAAAAAAATAAGCTAGAAGAGTGACCTGAGACGTGACCTGACAGCATCTCATGCCATGACCACCGAGTCCTGCTGTTAAATTATTTTTCTGACACATGCAGAGCATCTGATCCCTACTTTTTTTGTTGTTGTTGTTTGTTTTTTAAGAAAGAAAAATATCTATTTTGGACAAATTTTCAGGTAACTGTGCAATAGCAGTGCATAGGAAATGAGCCTGTGACCTCCAGCCAGGGTGACCCACATGAGGCTTGCTGGAATTGCTGTGTGCCTCTGCTGTACATTTCTATGCAGTCCCTGACTCTTGTCCAGGTGCATGATAAAGAGTTCAGTATGGTATTAAATTCAAATCAATTATTTATTCTGTGTGAGTCTTGAATTCATTACCTTGTGTCTCCATGGAGCACAGGGGTATGGCTACATAAATAAATTACTGTGAGATAAGATAGGTTGTGCACTGAAAAACTATCAGCTGGTCCATGGACCTTGTCCACTTGCACACTTTTGCTCTTGAATAATATGAAGAAATTTGGCATAACTTGCTCCTCAAAGTTTATAGTTGGGACTGGTGATCTTAAGAGCCTTTTCTAACCTGAGTTTATGATTCTGTGATTCAAAACATGTGAACTACTTTGCAGGAGAGTTCCTGAGAGATGTAACCATGAGGCGGGGGACATGCTCTGTATCCACAGTGGTCTTGATGTTTTTATGACTTTGCAATGATTTCTGAGATGTGGGAGTGAAAACTGCACACTGTTCTTACCCCAATGAACAATGTTTTACTTAATTCTCAGCTGTCCATCAAAGAACTGAGTGTTATTTATGAGTAGAACATTTTCTGGCAAATAGGAAAGTCACAATTGACAATTTAAACTATAGTTAACATGGTTGAAAATTGCACGTGAAGCTCATTTAATCCCTACCTAAAGACAGGATCAACAATATCATCCTTCACAGAAGTGTGCCTAACTTTTAAAATTATCTTCAGTGTGGAAACTATGTGTTACTCTCTGAGTTTCTTCCCCTTCCATTGAATTGAAAATTCTTGTAAGTCAGAATGTAATTAGCAAGTTTCTCTGGTATCTGAATATTCTTTGTCCTATCTGCCATATATGTGAATAATACAATCTGTTGTTCCCCCACCCTGCCCATCCTACCACTTTTTTTTTAATCTTTAGACCCTAGCACTTGATGAATTTCACATACCCTGAATTTCATCCTAGCTTTGGACCATTGCATTTGTCAGGGTCATTATTAACTTGTTATCCCCTCCTACAGCCTATGCACAGTCATTTCTAGCTTTGTATTATCTGCATTTTCAAAGGGTTTACTGAACATTCATCATCCAGATTATAAAGTGAAGCATTATGCAGACTTCTGGAGAACCCTGCTTGACAAGCCTTTCCACTCTGTCAGTGAATCCAATGAATAACTCTCTGGAAAAAGTAGCCAAACTCTTTTTTAGCATTTTCATTTAGAACACTGAGAGTCTGCCCTAAGGCAAAATTAATAGACTTGTAAAACCTAGATATGTGCTTCCTACTTTGTCTTTCCATCCAGAAAGAGTGATGATCCTGTTATACAAGGGATTTTTTTTTTGTAGAATAAATTAAGATTATATGTAACAACTTTGTGTTATATGCTCCTTGTTTCCTTACTAAGACACAGCTGGCTAATCAATACCTCCTTTGCAGCTCTTCTTTTTAAAGATAGACATGGTATTTGGTTTTATAGAGTGTTTTGGTGCTAGAACTTTTTCTGCTGAGTTTTATAAGCATCATTAGTTGTTCTGAAATTCCAGCCAAATCCATCCAACAGGATATTGTTCTGTGCATTGGAGAATTGAGTGCTCAACTTCTGTGTTCCACTAAGAAGCTCAGTGAACAGGAATGTTGAAAATTAATCTATTCCTCTTGATTTATATTGAAGAACCTTGAAATATGAAATCTGTTTCCATTTGAATGTTGCCTTTGCTCTGCTGATAAGAAAACATTGCATAAGTGATAAGAAAAGTGTTATTCATTTCCAAGGTGGTGCTGAGATCCAATTAAAAAGTAAAATCTCTTCTTCCCTTCCCAGGATGGTTCTTTCTGTGGCAATTTGCTCCTTTCCTGGCTATAATTAATTGCTTTTATTCATTAGTTACAAAATACTTTAGCTCATTTCTTTCATACACTCACAGACAAAAAGTAAATCCCCCATCTGTGTATTAAATCTAGAGTCTAGCCCACATCTTACTGCATTAACCTGTGGCAGAGTTGGAAACATGGAGGTAAAAAACAATCCCTGATTCTCACAACCATCCACAGCTAAGTTGACTCAGATCTCTGGTGGTCTTTCTCTAAAATGAGTAATTAATATTGGGTATTTTTTATCTCTGCTCATTGACTAGGCTCCCATGGCACTCTTGTTCAGAAACTACAGACCATAAAACCAAGAGCTGATTGTGGCATATTTGAGTCACTTCAGAGGTCAACCAATTTTGGCAACAGAATTCTCTGAGGGAAATCTAAATCTATTGAAGAGTGGCCTCTTTTACATTATTATTTGTTCCAGCATTCTGTGACATAACAGAATGACAGATCTTAAACATTTTTTTGTTCTTTTAGCTTAGTCAGTACGTTATACTTTTGACTTACTGTGTCTTTCATAAGTTTTGTAATCAGACTAAGTCATAAGACATGACTGCATTTCCCATGCCATTGAAATTCTTAGTTAGTTTCTCAATTTTTCATCTTCCCTTCTCCGTATGCCTCAACCTCTGAACTCTCAAGTGGCTCATTCAATATTTTTTGGTCCATGAAAACTCCCATACAGCCACCCTGCAAAGTTACAAGTCCTTTGTTCTTTCGTGGTATATTGCTTGATTTCCCCTGTGTTTGAGTGAAGAATGTACTTACCTTTGATCGGCCCCTGAATTTCAGAATTTCTCATAAAAATTTCAGAATTTCTCATAAACCTGGTTCCTCTACATATATTTAAAAATGACGACTGCCCTCTCCTCAGGGCTGTTCCACCTGGTCCTCCTTGCAGGTTATCCTCTACACTCCAGGGGCTGCCTTATTAGACAGAGCTGAATGAATGCACTGGGAAATACCACTAAACCCATGGTATGGTCCACAAAAACACTGCATTTCAGTTAATTCATGCTGGTTTGATGGTGAATGAAAACAGAGGTCATTATACAACCAGACAGAAGGGTTCATAAGGCTTTGGGGACCAGTTTAAGTTTAAAGGGTGTTTCAAATGTGTCTCATGAAGGTATTCTATCTCTATAGCCTACATAAGCCTTTCAGACCTCCCTGGAGCTGTGCTCTGCTTCAGCAAAGCACAAATCTTCCCATACCAAAACATCCAGGTTCTGCTCCTCTCACTGTCTGCCCTTATGGGTTGTGACTGTAATAACCCTACCTGCATCCCATATAAATGGCACATGTATTGTTACATTAGTTTAGATAATTCTTCCTCAGATAGAGTCCTTTAGTGTATATTTAATGGAATCATAGAATCCTACAATGGTTTGGTTTGGAAGGGGCCTTAAATATGATCTAGTCCCAACCCCCCTTCCATGGGCAGGGACAGCTTCCACTACACCAAGCAGCTCTGAGCCCCATCCAGCCCGGCCCTGAATACTCTCAGGGATGGGGTAGTGCAAAGCTACTTTATGACTCAAGGCCCTTGTTTATCCGTCCTACCAATATGAGTATGTAAAAATTAAAAAATGACATTATTGTCTTCTGTAGATATATTGAGGAGAGTTCTGCAGCCCTTATAAGCAGTAAATGACAGTTGTGTGAAGGAAAAACTATTTAAGCTAAAGGCAATGCAGGTATTAGTGCACTGATGAGGTCAATTATTGCATTAGTGTTTGTAAGTGTGACTTGCCTACAGAAATACTGGAGACAGGAACCAAACTGGATTGCAAATGGGACCTGAGAAACTTCTGAAGTTGTTTCTGTTGGGGTTTTTTTGTAGTGGTGAGAAAACAGTTGTTTTGATCAAGAATATTTCTCCAAGTCTATGTTTTTTTTTCTTAAATCCTTAGTGACACCAGAGACTGCAATGTATTCAGGAAACAGTGGAGCAGTTCTCCACTGATGAAAGTTTGAAGTTAGCTCAGTTTTGAGAAGGAGATGATCTACATTTCTGGAGTATCTTTAAAGTCCCATTCTTTCTGTGTTTTCTATGTTTTTCTCTTTACAAAACAAAAATAAATAAATAAGAATGCATTCTAAAGGGAATGATAATTTGGTGTCTGCTTTTTTTTTCCAAAAACAGGAGCTGGTTTTATGCAGTTTTTTGGTACCTTTTGAAGAATAAGATTGCAGGCAGGGCCAAGAGCTCACTGGGTCAGGGAGGAGAAGTGAGGGTAGATGTGGTGGTGTCATATGGCTGCCTGCTAACATGCATTCCCAAACATGGGCTGTGCCTGGTGATGGATCCTGATAGCAAAGATTTAACCAGGCTGACTTAGATTCCTGAAGCTATTTTGGAGGCACTGAGTCAAAAGAGAATATAATTTCGTGATATGCATTCATTTGATATTTTTTAACTTGGGCAAAATTCCAAACAATTAGTTTTGAGGAAGGTGAGGTAATAATGCTGGAAGATGCAGTTCTTAAACAGCAGGACCATAGATCTGGCATTTCTGTGATCTGTGACAATATCTTCTTCTCATCCCAAGCTGAAACTAAAATAAGCATGTGTAAGAAGCAGTCAGATGTAAGTGTGCCTTTAAACTTCCAGGAAGAAAGCTACCATTAGTAAGGAACACTCCTAGAGTTCCTCAAAA